GAGCTACACGTGAGCAAATACCCATGTCTTCATGTAAATTTGGATGCGCTTCCACCAAACTACGCGAAGACGGAAATACTCAAGATACCCATCATGATCACATTTCGCGGTAGGCCGCGTGATTTGACAGCCGAGCGTCGCGAGTTTTACGGGATGTTGAAGGGCGATGGCGCAGCAGTGAAAAAAACAGCGGGCATCAGGCCCAGCAGCGACCCCAGCGGCCCCGATTTCTATAGATGAGAGCCCGCCGCGGCAATCTGATCAGACTCCTGAGTCCGAGAAGCCAAAGCCACCACCGAAAGCCGCAGTCTGGAAACCTGGGCACTCGCCGACGGAGCAAACGCAGGCGACGAATGACGGTACGCAACCGCTCTACCAGGAGGACTACGGCTTCGGCGACGACGGCCGCATGGAGGGGCACGGCGACGATGACAAGATCGAGCAGCATCTCAAGATGGACGAGGGGCAAAACAGCGTCACCATAAACATCACATTCGACCAACAGTCGAAACGCGGTGTGGCTTTCGGTGAGGTTCTCAAAAATCTCGAGGGAGTGTCAGCGATAGAGAAGCTGTTGGTGGCAAAAAGCCTGAAGACGATGAAGGTGACGGGACTCAGCTTTGGAGGTTGTAAGTGCAGACTGATGAACCTTAGGACGTAAGATTGATGATACTACTCTCTTGGCGCACAATTGGAATGCGGCACTCATCCGTGGCTCCTAGAAACGACTGATGCTGACAAAAACACGCACACACAAACGCACACACACAGTACAGTTTATTCAAATGGCTATCGCCAATCTGCATGCAGATGTTCATTCTAAGACCGTTCGCCTCTCCGCCCCTCAATGTTATGGGGACTACCCCCCTCAAGCTGGGCGGGGCCCACTGGCTCGCTCGAGCTGCCGTGCTGAGCGATCCCACCACTACCATCACCACAACCGCCACCGTCATCGTCATAACCATCATCATGATCACCATCATCACCATAATCACCATCGACACAAAGGTCATCATCTTTGACACCCGCCATCGCCACCATCATCAGCGACTCCATCATGAAATCATCCCCGAAACCATTACCACCATCAATGCCATCTTCATTATCGTGGTATCTGCCTTTCACTCCTTCAACACAAAACCAAAAGTGGCCATAAGAAGCCACGGGGGGCGAGCGGGCTACGGCCGACCTCCAGGCAGAGAGTCTGCGGAGGGGTCTATCGGACTCAGTCGGAACATGGGTTCAACGAGCAACAGGACTCGTGAAGAGTCGGGCCTGGCCAGCGGAGCTCTCCTGGGCTCCCTCTTGGGGCATCTTTTGAAGTTTTCTCGGGGCCCTCTTACTGCTCCTATTGGGGCTCATCTTGGGACCCTCTGGGCCCTTCTGAAGCTCTCCTGAGGGCCTCTTAGGCCCTTTCTAGGGTCCTCCCCTGGGGCTGTATCGGGGCTCTCTTGGAGCTTCATTGGGGCCTTCTCGGGCCCTCTTGGAGCCCCTCTAAGGGACTCAGAGGGCCCTATTTCAGCCCTCCGTCCTGCGGATAACGAGGGGATTGTTTAGGCTCCCCAGATACGGGCCATGCAATAGTTTGCCCCCTCGACACAGGGGGCGTAGGTTTGTTTAGTACAAAATCAATTTGTAGTGGGAGTTAGTTTGCCTGCGTTGGCCATGGCTGGCCAATTAGTTCGGCCGCCATGAATCCGCGGCCGCCCCAAGTTAGCACAATCAATGCACAACCAATGCACAGCCAATGCACAGACAACCCCTCCGTTAGCACAAACAACACCCAGTTAGCACAACCAATGCACAACCAATGCGCAACCAATGCACAGACAACTCCTCAGTTAGCACAGACAACACCCAGCTAGCACAGGCAATGCACAACCAATGCACAACCAATGCGCAGACAACTCTTCAGTTAGCACAAGCAACACCCAGTTAGCACAACCAATGAACAGACAACTCTTCAGTTAGCACAAGCAACACCCAGTTAGCACAACCAATGCACAACCAATGCACAGACAACTCCTCAGTTAGCACAGACAACACCCAGTTAGCACAACCAATGCACAACCAATGCACAACCCATGCACAGACAACTCTTCAGTTAGCACAACCAACACCCAGTTAGCACAACCAATGCACAGACAACTCTTCAGTTAGCACAAATAACACTTAGTTAGCACAACCAATGCACAACCAATGCACAACCAATGCACAGACAACTCTTCAATTACCACAATCAACACGCACGCACGTTGTACTGTTTCCTTTGTTTAAACTAGAACTCGCTTGGAATCCTCAAGGTTTTTCCTGTTTCTCAGGATTTCCGATGAGCCCTTAGGACTTAGGACTCCTCAAGATTACCTTGGATTTCCCAGGGTTCTTGCAACCCTGGGATTCCTCAGGGTTCTTTTAACTCCTCTGGATTCCTGCGGTTCCTTCGGCTTTCTCAAGACTCCCTGAGATTCCTGCGGATTCCTTTGGGCCCCTCATGATTCGTGCAATTCCTCAAGGCTCGTAAAGATTCCCCAGGGCTCCTCAGAATTCCAGAAGACTCCTCAAGATCCGGGCTTTTTTACGCATTGGTTGAAATCTCCAAGAATCACGCAGGCTGGGGCCCAAATCCGTGTAGCTCTCGACCCGATCCCTGGGGCCGAGGCCCAAACCCTGGAGCTCTCGACCTAATCCCACGGGCTGGGCCCAAACTGGAGCTCTCGACTGAATCCCTGGGGCTAGGCCCGAACCTATGGTGCTCTCGGCCGACTCCTTGGAACGGGCCGTCGTTTGAAGCTCGGGGGCCCCTCCGATGTTCCGTAGCTACTTTGGCTTAGACAGTTTTGCTTTTTTGGGCTGAGCGCCTACTGTACCATGTACCAGCAAGGCGACGAAGACATGAAGTCAGACGTAGATTCTCTTATTGAAGAACTATGGCCATACAAGCAACTCGTTCTCACAGACCTGGAACAACAGCCGTTGCCCACGGACGAGAAAAGTTTGGAGCTGCATCGGGAAACATGTTTTCACACTAAAGTGTTATGTGACATGGGGGCAAAGGAACCATATTTCAAGGTTAAGTGGTTTAGTTTCCAAGACGTTCAGAACATACGACAAATTGAGATTCGATGGCACAGAGTTGAAGTACGGCTTAACATACTGGGGCTCACCCCACTGGGGAGAGAGTAGCGATGCAGGATGGCGCCAATGGCGCGACTCGGCGGCAATCAAAACAAACGCATTCGAGTCAATGAGTTGGCTTAGCCCACAGGCGCTTATCTTGATGACATTCGCTGAAAATACGAAGTGGAGTTCTGGTCGCCATATTTCAACAGCACAGGCGAGCCTGACCATAGAGTCAGCAGAAAACTAGAGATATGCGAATGCTACTTCAGGCAATATAGGCCATTAGCTAGTGGCAAACACTTCAATGTACTGCACCCGTCAAATAAAATAATGGTGGCAATGCTCGTTCCGTCTAAGTATCGGCATTGTGTGACGATGTACAAAGAAGACCCTCCTACACTCGACGTGGGGACTACGATGCTCCGGACATTACAGGCGCTTCCCTCGGATGAATGGGCAGTGGAGTTGGGGGGTCAGTCGTTTTCACTATCGTAAGAGATTCATCTGGCGAAGTTGGCAATGGACAGGAACAATCAGACTACACAGGGCCCCCCGCAGTGATGGAATCAATAATTGATTACACAAATGTTTGCATGGTGCTACGGATGCCACGATACTGGGACACTTCAAAGACGGCGCTACACATTACAAGATGCTGGCGTACATATAACTTCCGACATACTGCATCGATGGTTCACTGTTCAAGGAGCGCTGCAGATGACACATACTTCAGCTTGATGCCTTCACGTTCTGCGACGTTCGTTTCACAGGAATGCCTTTGCGACCGAGAATGGGGTACATAATCGCGATGATGATTCAGATTATGAGTTCAAAAGACAGAAGACATTGTGTATTAGTCGTGACGAAGTAAAACGATGATGCACATGATGTTGGCATCAATTTCCAATCGGCGCATTTGGCGCTCGCTGGCCCGACCCAGGGATACACATAGTGCTGCATCCCATAATTGAATATTGGATAGGGAATCGGCCACCTCGGTTCATGGAGGTGCGCCGTTCTAGTTCGTGCAGTGCGGCTTGAAACATCCCACTGCAGGTGTCCCCCCCCTCCTCATACTCCTCTTCCTCCTCAGCGCACTGGGCGTGGAACCATGGCACTGCACGAGCGTGGGCAGCGTAAGTAAGTATGACACATCGACAGTGAACACAAATACAGCTTCCTTAGACGAAGCGCTTAGGCTCACAACAAATATGAGTTCCCACGAAAGGTAAACACAGACAGCACACACATAGCAACACAACCAATATATCACAACCTCAGCCTAGCAACACAGAAGGTTAATACAGCAATTTAGAAACGTTGTTGAACACCAATGCGTTGTTCTAGGGACGAAGCCATGAGAACGCGGTCCACCCCCCTAAACGGATAAGGAGTGACAAACATCACATGGGAGAACGAAGCACAGGCAACTATTTAGGCAACACCGCATAGGAAACACTTCGCGCACTCGAAATGCACCTCGAGACGTTTCTCGGGCCGAGGCCCTCACCCAGGCCGCGCACCCTTCCCTCAGGGCACTCTGCTTTGAACCAGGGCCCTCATCGAGGTCGCACCTCAGGGCTCCATGGTTCTCCCTCCTCCTCACTCCTTCCGTTTCCCTCGAGGCACTCTAGTTTAAACAATACCTCCGTCCTCCCCATGCGCCCTCCTCCTTCCTACACTTGATTTGACATTGGTGCTGGTCATCAACACATGGCCATCTCATCGCAGCGATCGTGTCCGTAGCATTTCTCCGGCCAAGGCCCGAATGGAGGTTTCCAGCCAGCTGGCAACGGTCGACGCTGGCTCGTATTACCGACAATTCCTTTGAAGCCTTCATATTAACTACACGCACCGTACTGCGTGCACGGAAGACAGAGATGGACGATAACGACTTCTTTGGATTCTCTCCGGGCAAAGGAGACGGACTCTCCCCGCCAATGGATATATGCGGGCTGTGCGACAAAGAAGATACGCTTGCCAACTTGTGCTGTTTCAAGAAGGGTTTGAAACTTCACCGTGCGCGCTTCAACGGCATTCGAGCGCACGACTCTTTCGTGGGGAATGGCGCGCCAGAGCAGGTCCAGGAAGTAATCAACAACGAGTTCAAGACAAATCGCCCTGCGTGGAAGGCTAGAGTGTTGCCCTGGGTAAAGCCTGAGCAAAGAGATGATGCTCGGGCAGAGGCCAAAGCTAAGTATTTGAGCATACAGGACACGATCAAGAAGGAAACGAACAAGGAGTTGGATGACGACTTGTCCCTCGCCCTCGTTCAGTTCCAGGCCTTCCACGGCTTCTGGAACCGCATGTCCGACGAAGACTGCGAAGTGTTGTTCTGGAAGAAACATAAAGAGCAAGGAGGGGGGCATGACACCGTGGAGAACGGCGAGAAGATTGCCAAAGTGAAGGAGAAGGACATCCAACGCACCAGAAACTCGAAGGGCGTTACCAGGACCGACTCGACTGCCAAGATCACGACGGTGAGCGAGGATGACTACGAGAACAAGCGGAGGCGGATTACATCCAAAAGGGCTGCACCGTCTGCTGGCTCGACGGGCGGTCCATCGGCATCGGCTGCGCCCTCGACTATTGGTTACCCGACGAGCTACTTTAGCGAAAGCGAAGGGCCGGCCTCGCCAGCACAATCGATTCTCTCGGCAGAAACGCTGAAGCTGGCACCACGTTCCCACGAGGCGGCCGCCGCCGACGAAGAGCAGGACAAGAAGTCGACCAGGTCAGGCCAGAGTCGTCGCGGCGTCGAGATCAATATCGACGACAAGACCAGGGAGCGCAAGGTGCCTACCCAGAGCGAGATCAACGATACCGATGCCGTGAGGTTCATGAACATGAAGAAGCTGTGGCGTCATATGGCGGAACACGTGTCCAAAGGGTTCCAAGACCCATCCAATGGCTTCATCAAACAACTGACCCAAGAATCAGCAAGAGTGGATGCAGCGATGGAGCGGGACCTACCGATAACTACGGATGAACTGAAGACGAAGCTAAAAACGATGTGTTTGGAGCTCGACAAGGAGATAGACAACATCACTCAAGCTACCAAGGGTACATTCCTAAAGGTGACGCAGAACTTGGAAGAGAAGATGAAGGGTCTCGAGAAAGAGAAGGACTCTGTGATGGATCAACTCGCGGGGTTTAAGTTCATCAGTACGGAGTCGAAGGACAAAAGCAGGAAGGAGTACATGCAGCATTATAACAGGGCCCTTACCATCCAGAAGCGGTTGATTAAAGGTCAGTTTCAAAAAGAGGTGGCAGCCATCTGGTCGAGGTCACTCTACGCGGGCTTCGGGGAGGATCAGAAGAACTACATGCTTGGAAACTCTGACGCTGGCCAGAAGGAGAAGACCGCCAAGGGAGGGAGAAAGGTCAAGAAGCTGATGTTACAATGCGAGGCTGTAAAGAACTCTGATCCCATTGACTTCGAGAAGGTTGGTATCTGGACAGCTGGACCTTTCTGTGATGCTGTGAAGAACTACATGGAGAAGCTGGGCGACACCATCCATTCCAAGATCGAGGGCATCGAGAGGGCGTTCGATGAGAGGGGGTCCAACTGGTTGGGATGCCTAGGCCGCCTCAACATCTCGGCCCCAGAAGATCCAGCTCTATCGCTTCTTGGGGATGGCTACTTCGACATTGGCACTAAGGATTGCGTACCGTGGCTCTGCACCGTGAGGGCGGACGCGTTCAGGCACGGACCTTCAGCATTCCCTTTGAATGGATATTCTAACTTGGTGGTCGTAATCAGCGAGGTCATGCAGTTTGTCCTGCTGCCAGTCGCGAACATCATCAGCCAGGGCATCATCCTAGCCGACGTGCCGAAGTTCTTAGCGTCCGAGGGCGCTACTACCACGCTCGAGGCTGGCTACCTGGTCACGCTCGCGCACCACGAGACCCTATACGTGCCCTACGGTTTCATCGCCCTGCCACTCTACTACCCAGCGACCCTCGACGAGAGCAAGAAGAGCGTACTTGGCCATTGCATGGTCTTGCCGCTGCTCCACCAGCAGCGTATGAAGGCCTACGCAGTTCGAAAGGGGGTGGAAGAGCGAGAGAGGCAGAGAGAGAGAGAGACAGATAAGAGGAGAGAGGAATGAGGGGGAAGGAGTTCCAGGAGTGTAGGGGAGGGAGTTCCGGAACTCAGGAGAGCCTCAAAAGGCCCCAGGGGGCCTCGGGAGAGCCTTAAAGGGCTCATAAAAGGCCTCAGGACGGCCTCAGGAGGGCCGATGGGGTCTTGCGGACCCCATCTCCTCTTCCTCCTCATCCTCCTGCTCCTTCTCTTAAACCCTCCTAGCCTCATCCTGTTCCTTATCATCCTACTTCCTCCTACACCTCAGCCGTCGTCTATCTCCTTCTCCACCTGCCTCTCTTTCTCCTCTTCCTCTTCCTGCTTCTCTACCTGATCATGCCTACCTCATTCATCCCGCTCCCGAGGCTACCAACGCCGCCGTCACGAAGGCGGTCAACAGCAGCAACATGACTTTCCTAAGCAACCAGCCCCAGCAGATGTATAAGGACAGGGCCGCTGGCCTGAGCAGGTTTCACAACGAGTGAGAGCAGCGCGGTAGATCAGCACAGTAGCAACGGCAACAACGAACAACAACACTAATAGCACAACAAGGCATCAGTAACACGTAGCCGACTGACAGCAGGTTTAGCCAGCCAGCACTAGTAGCGCAGCACTAGAATGCTGGTTGAAACTCGTTTGCACCTCTCGCAGCTTGCTTGAGCAGGCCGTTCTGGACAGAGGAAAACATCACCACCACTGCTGTGACATATTGCTTTGTATTGCATTGGCATTGGGGTATCGCATTGCATTTTGTCGTATTGCATTGGCTCTCGCCAAGATTTGAATATGTGCTCGTGTGACTACGTGCTCGTTTGAAGATAAGTTGTGGACCGATCTGTGTGCTCGTGTGAATATATTGCATTGGCTGTCGCCGAACACCCCCCTAACCCCCGACTTGATCTCCCGTGCCCCGAACCCGTAAGTCTTGTAAGATCCCGTGCCCCGACCACTAACCAACGGTGGAAACAATTAGGCCGACGATGCAAGATGGGGAATATGATGGTAAGGACGACGGCGACGATACCGATAGGAAGTAGCGGAACGAGGGGGCGTGCAGTGTTTAGGAAGAGGGCTTGCGATGGGGAGGTTTTTGGGCTTATGGGGATGATTAGTGAGGATAGGGATGGCGAGGGAGGGGGTCATGGAATCAGGGGGGGGGGTACGCGTGAGGATGATATTGAATAGGTATAAGGTGTTGGGTAGGAGGGTTGAGGATGAGGGCGGATGGCGGGTGAGGGTTGGGAGGGTGAGGGAGGGTGGCTGGGAGTAGCGTTGGGAAACATGACCGAAGAGGGGGGGGGTCAGGTAGATGGGCGAGGAGGAACGGCGGATACTTGAGAAAGGTACGGATGCTTTGTACTAGGAGGGACGACGGGGGAGGAACAGGAAGAAGGAGGATTGATGAGGATGTCGGGGAGGGTCGAGGAATGTTGAGGATGGGGTTTGATGACGATGATGACGCTGAGGGGGTGGGCGGGAGGATGAGGACTAGCGACACTGAGCGCGAAGGTGGTAAGGCAATGAAGCAGGGCAGGAGGAACATGGATGATGATACCGCATGGCTAACAGCAATAATATGATGACGCGTGTGAGGCAAATGCATCTGATTTTGGTGACGATGATGACGAGCATGCTGGCAGAGACTCAACATGGAAAAATGTCGCGCTTGTGTAGACTTTACCAGCACATTGCATTTGCTAAATTTACTTTGGGCTTCCTAGGATAAGCGCGCCCTGGGGCCGTGCGCGAGACGCGTGCGAACTGGGCCGCCCAGCGGGTCGCTGTTTAAAATTGGTCCGAATCGTTTAAACTGTTACAGGTGCCGAGGGCCCCCCCGTCATGCATATTGATTTCACTTTAAGTTAATATCCTGCTGACAAGACATTAACGCGCGCGTAATCACAAGGTAACGGCGCGTCGAAACGCAAAGATCGGTGTCAGACAATTCCGCCAAGCAAATCACGATCGCGTCTGACGCCACTGCAAGCGCATAGTCGCGCCGTGATGTTGCGCGCACTCTCGCGTCGCATCACGGCGCGACTATGCGCTTGCAGCGAAGTCAGACGCGAACGTGATCTGTTTGCGAAATCTTCTGACACCTCACCTTGCGCTTCGTCGCGTCGGTATGGTGTGACGACGCGCGCACGACAATGTCTTGCGCGCAGGATATTTAACTTAAAAATAAATCAGTTTGCATAACGAACCTCTCTCGGAACCTACAAAAGTTTAAACGGCGCGGAACAAGTTTAAACAACGACCCACTGGGCGGCCCAATTACCACGCGCCTCGCGCACGGCCCCAGGGTACGCTTATCCTAGGATTCCCAAAGACGCGTGCCTACCCAGGGAGGAGGTTGGAGGAGGGAAGCAGGAGGGAGGAGGGAAGGAGGAGGGAGGAGAGAAGGAGGAGGGAGGAGGGAGAAGAGAAGGAGGGGGGAGGAGGGAGGAGGGAACGAGGAGCAAGGACAGATAGGAAGACTGGAGGGAGTGTAACAGGAAGGATTGCGCGAGCCAGATTTGCGCGAGCCTCCTCCTCATCCTCCTCTCCCAGCCCCCGCCTCCGCCCCTTGGTGGCGCGCCTCCTCTCCCTCCCCCTCCTCCTCCTCCTCCTCCTCCTCCTCCTCCTCCGCATCCTCGGCGAAGGAAGAGGGAATGAAAGGAGGCGGGGAGGACTGATAATGATGATGGTGACGATAATGATGATGAAGATGATGATGATGCTGATGATGAGGATGCGATGGATACGACGACGACACGTCTGCCCATGACGATTGTTGTGTGACTTTAGCTTCACATCGATTGCGGGTTCATGCTTACTATATCCGCCGCGACGTCGAACATATACCGCAGACACCAGTCACACGTGCAAAAACAACGGTCAGGAAACCCACGCGATGACCACCGTAAGTGAGAATATCTAGAGCGCACGCGACTGAATGCATATTTATATGTTGGTGCGGTGTGTTTGCACGATTGCCTAATTTCCTAGAAACTACTAGAGGAGGAGTCGGCGTACGTCGTCGTCTTTGTCGTCGTCTTAGTCGTCGTCGTCGTCGGCGTTTGAATTCTACTTCAAAAGATGCTTGATGCCAACAGTTTTGGTGCTGCTGGCGGTGCTCGTGGACTCAGCCTCCCCGCCGGTCGGCGTGGGAGCCTTTGCATCCTTGAGATCCTTGAGCGCCTGGGCCAGGCCTGCACTTTCACGGAACTGCATGATGGCCGAGGCGCCGCCTTTGCCCTTCCCCTTCTGAGCCTTGGCCGTGACCTCGCCTGGGTAGGCAGCCCTGGTCAACTTCAAAGGCTCGCCATCAGTGTTGTCCGCAGCGTCGTGGTGATGAGGCTTGACCGTGAGGTAGCGCAGCACGATGTCGAACGTGAAACTCTTGGAAGGCGCATCGCCGCGCTCCTTCATGTGGGTGAGCGACAGACAATTTGGCGGGTCAGTCGCATAGAAGCCGCACCAGACCTTGATCGTCTCGGAGCCCATCAGCATGGTGGCCTGCTCCTCTTTCACCAGCGGGACGGCCCATGCAGGGGCGAAGAGGTCCGCCGAGGGGCTAGCGTGGGTACCCTTGCAGACATTGAAGCCTACACCAAAAACAGACTTGCACACGGGGAACATTGGATCATAATTTGTGGTGCAGATTGTGCCGCCAAAGTACAAGATCAAATGCTTGCAGTTGCTCGTCGCCGTCAGCGTAGGTTGTTTGCCACTCAGGTCAATCTCGACTCCATCGTGGTTGTTCTTACCGAGCAAGCAGATGTCGTTGATCAGAACCTCCAGCTTGGCCTTGAAAGACTGGAATCATACCAGATTCACTCTGGCGTTGCCGGTAGTGGCCAGCCCGAGCTCCTTCGCGTGCTCGGAGAGACGCAGGACCTTGGAGCCGCCCTCATTGACGAAACTGTAAAGTTGGTCCAGCGTCACTGTGGAAGGAAGCGCTGGCTCCGACGGTGGCTGAACTGCCTCCGCAAGTCGGCATGCTTCTGGTGAGTCGCTGGATTCCTGCTGCCCCTTCACGTTCGAAGGTGGCTGCTCTGCATCCTCCTTGAGGCGCCGGGGGGCGCGCTCGGCGAGTACCTTCATCTTCGCGTCCAGCGTCGAACAAGCAGCCACCTTCTCGACCAACACTGCCATGTTGATGCTCCAGGTCCGCTGCGTGTCGCACGTGACGTCCAGAGCACTCAGGCGAGACAATGAGATCGGATTCTGGACTGCCTCCGCGAAGCTCTTGAAGGCATGGGCATTCTTCACCTCCCCCGTAGCAGTCACCACATTCTCCACAATGCACACAAAGTAGCGCACCCTGACCTCCAAAAGGTTCGACAGGAGTTGCAGGGCTTTGGGGCCCTCAGGGAATAAGCCGTCAAGTCCAGCGTACATCTTGCCAATATCCAACAGGACCTCCTCGATTGAAACAGCCGCCGACACGACGCAAGGCCGAAGCTTCTCGAACATCTTCGCGCTGGAGACCTGGACGACCGCAAGAACGTCCATCTGCGCCGCATCGCCACTGTTCAACAATGGCCACATGGACATCTGAATGCTGGCGAGCAGAGGGGGTGCATGCCGACAGGCAGGTCGAAGTTGGCATAACCAATGAACGTCTTCAGCTCGTCGATGGCATCATGCGTTCCATTGAGCATCTCCTCCAACCTCAGTGCGCTAGCTGGCTTGGAAGCTTCAGGCGCGGGAAGGCCATCGAGCGCAGTTGCCAGTCGATCGGCAACTTCTCCAGATGCGGACGCGGCGAGCTCGCCGCCGGCACCGAACGCGTCACCATTGTGATCGGGTAAGACGGATCCCGCCGTGCCAGACTGCTTCAGGAAGGCGACGCCGTAAGTTTTCAACGCGATGCGTAGGGAAGACCACTTGGTGTGCTCCACTCCGCTGAAGGATACCTTCGCCTCGTGCCCGAGTTCGTAAGGCGCGTTGTAGATAAGTCCAGTGATGGTGCCAATCGCCTCGTCTGGGGCGCTCGGGAACGACTCGGCCAAATAAACGTTGAGCCAGCACGCGTCCCCCAGCCAAAACTTGTTGCGGACCGCATGCTGTCCACTTGGCTTGGGCACCTGCACCGCGCAGCACAGGACCTCATCTTCGACAACACCGCTCGAATTGGATTTGCGACACTTCTGGCTGCGACCGCGGCCGCGGCCGCCACCACCACGGCCACGGCCAGCAGGCGCCTCTATTGCCGCCACGTTTGCAATAATCTCGGGAAGCCCATCTGCCAAGTCCATGTAGGCTCCGCTGCTGGTAGACGACGCGGCCTTCATCGGGAAGTCGGCGGCCTTCGGAGCCTTCTTATATACAGCGCTTAGCTCCATGGACGTAGCGAGGAGCGTCAGCAGCCGCTTGGCTTGGTCAGTCTTCTGGATGATGTAATCTGGCATCCGTCCGAAGCGGGCGCTGCGCGATCCAGCTGGCGCGTCCAAAGGGACGCAGAACTTCAGAAGCTCCATGACCATCTTCTGTAACTGGTCGCGGGGGCATGTCTTGTCGAAGTGGTTCTCGGTGAACACCGTACGACCGTGGACTCGAGCTCGAGGCGCGGCTCCAAGTAGTTGCAGTGCGTGCCCGTCAAGTCCTTGAAGAGTTCCCAGATGTTCATCTTCTCGAGGCGATGAATGGTAGTCTTCGCATTCACATACTGGAACCAGCTCTTGATCCTGATGGCATTGCCCTTGGACGCATCTGAGTCCGCGCCGAACGTCGAGCACGTATGCCTTGTATTTGCCCTCGTAGTCAGAAGAAGACGACGTGATGTTGCTCGCTTTTCTGAAGACTGCCCAGGAGGACTCCACCTGTGAGATGAAGGCGTAGAACTCCTGGAAGCTGATGCCCGACCCGAAGTGGAAGAAGCTGTTGTGGATGTCGCGGAGGTACCTCACCACGTCGGTGGGAATCCGGTGGTCAAACCGCACAGAGTTGAGGCCTGCTGAGACGGACGCCTGAATTTGCGGGTTCTCCTTCATCGGATCCTCGTCGTATGCTTCGTAGAGAGCCTCGGTGACGGTGCCAAAGCCGATCAACAGATATGGATCACCAGCCCTCGCCGGCGCCTGTGCCCACGCTTGTCCACGTGCGCCATCGACGATGCCGCTGCTCTTGATTATCTGCTTGTACTTGTTCTTGACAGACCCCGGAGCTCTCATGTTCTCCGGGTGCCTGGCCATGTTCCGCTGCATTGTGCCATTCACGTCCTTGAAGAAGGGGGTGCTCATATCCGAGATCTGGATGGCCTCGAGCATATTCTTCTGCAGTGCCCGCCCGCTGAGGCCAGGGAAGCGACGAGCGACTGAGCCTTCCCCGAACAGACGATCGAAGGCAGAAGCCGCCGCGCCTGGAGATCTGAGCCCATCGACTGGAACCGACGCGGCGCCCATCTCAGCCGAGGAGGCAGGTTGCAAAGTTTAAGGCAGTCGAGTACAAATTGCTTGCGCACAAAAAGCGACGGCACAGTTTAACGAGGTTTGTTTGCTCCTCTCGATGATGCGTTGCTCGTCCTGGAGAGCCCTCTTCGCCGCAGCTGGATTCTCATGGCTCAAACGCAAAGCGCTTGAGCTGACAGGAATCGTGTTTTTTCCACCTTCTGGGGTGGTTCCTGAAGCCGCTTCCTGGAGCGCTCTCCGCCACGGCTGGGCTCGCCTCGGACTTCTGGTCAGAACGCGCCGCGCCCCCCTCTTGGCGCCCCCCGAGACCCACCTCGTTGGCCCCGGGCGCCCTCGCTCAATCGTTTTCGCCCCTTTGCAGCGTTTGGTTGGTTTGTTTGATTTCATTGGAGGGAGGGAGGTAAAGCCCCGAGGCAAGGAGGAGACGGATGGAACATGAGGGTCACATGAGGGGAACGTGGCACCGTTTCATGCATATCCGCCGAGTGTCTGGCGCGTTGCGCCCCTCGTGGCCCATCGTGCCTGCTATGTGTGCGCGCCGCTTGGCACAGCGCCGCGCTCTGAGCAGTCGGGCGCGGTTCACTTAGGGAAACACTGCTGCAGGGCGGTTGGGCAGGGGGGACACCCGTGCGCTTGCACAACAGTGCACGAGCATTATCAGGCCTAGAGACACACAAGAAAGCATGCAGAAGTGCAAGCCCCACAACTTCAATGTGCATGCCCATCCCTGCCTGCGAGATCATTGCTGCGCGCGATCGCTTCTGCCTGCGATCGCGCTGAGAAGACGTGCACTGAACGCCGGCGGCAAAGCGATCATATGATGGAATGCCCTGGGCTAGCAGAAGCTCGCGGGCAGTGTAAAAGCGATGGTCACGATCACTGTAGAGGATGCACGATTAGCAATGACAGCTGGTAGCGTCTGTTTATCTGGAGAAGCCTCGGTGTGCTTCTGTGGATTCTGGCTGAGGAGGTATACTTTTGACAAACCTACCTTCCCTTGGTATCCCTGTCGATGCTCCCCCTCCGAAGTAGCGAGGACGTGGCCCCTCGCGGTCGGCTTCGCAGGATTCGCCGGGTCGAACTGGAAAGACATGTCAGCCGGGATCTTGCCCGCTGAGATGCTCGTAGGCCGCTTAGAAGCCCACTCGACTTCACGGCGCTGCTCGGTCTCTGGTGCGACGAAGAAGTCGCTGAACGAGACCTTGCACTCGCGCTTGAAGTGGTTCGTGAACTCCTTGAGCGACATGCGGAAGGAGATGGTCGTGAAACGATGACGCATCACAATGTACAGCTGGGGGCGTACGACTGGCCATCCGAATGCGGATGGGCACAGGACGGCGCCCTCCATCTCGTACAGGTCGCCCAACAGCTTCTCGATGAGATGCAATGGGAACTGCTTCACATTCTCACCAATAACTACTGGTTCCTGGTTCACTCGTCGTTCAGATGCCCAGCACATGAAGCATTGCATTGCATCGCCTGAGGCCCCCTTCTGTTGGCCTTGATTCGACCAGTCCGAACGCGACCGCCCGGCCACGTGCATCTTACACGATGGGTAAGCGCACATATTCTTGTGGATCTTGCACGCCGCGCCCCTGGCGGTGGCGCGGCCAGTCATCGCTGCACCGAAAAGCTTGTCGTAGGCGTCGTTCGAGCCGCCCTAGAAGTTGGAGAGGGTTTCCTGCAGGAGAGGCACGCGCTGCCAGAAGTCGCCGATGTCGGTGAAGAGGCAGGTCGGCCCGGCTGGGTGCACATGCAGCTCCAGCTGGGACTCCTCATAACGTTCGACGCCTGCGCGATTGGGCGCGACGCGCACACGAGGGAGCCCTCGGCGACAGCGGTCCTCATTCACGGCACCGACGATCAGCGAGCGGGCAATTGCTGGGCAGTCGATGCCGCTGCGCGCTGTAGACATGTCGGCGTGTCCTAGTTGGGCCGCGAGTTCGTCGAGGCATTCTCCGCCGCTGAGGCTCGGTATGCGGGCGGGCCCATTCGCCAGCTGCTGGGGCGCAAACTGCGGCCAGCTGAAAGCATCATCGAGGGATTCCACAGTCGAGGCCGCCAGGTGGGCGCCGCCATCGTCGTCCAGCAACGAAATGCGAGACGGTGCAATAGGATCCGTACGGCGCAGTCGGCGCTGCGCGGTCGGCGGCTGCGCAGCTGGCTCCGGCTGTGGCGGCTGGTCTGGTGCTGCCGTTGGTGCCAGCGATTGCGGCGCCAGTGGTGGCGGTGCCGGCTGCTGCTCCATTGTCTCGCTCGCAGGATCTGCCGCGGGCGTCTCAAGCGCCACAGGCAAGGGGGCGACCGCAGACCCTGCGGTCATCCGCCACGTCGCCCATGGAGACCTCTGATCCCGGCGCCGCCAAGCTGCCAGAGTCGGTGCGTCGCAGCGCTGGGGATTTTGACATGAGCCGAGTGCGCCAGTCGCGGCTCCTGGAGCGAGCAGCGGCATCAGGGGGGGGGCACCGCTCCACATGATGGCCTGTGCAGCAGCGTTTGCCACCTTCAGCTGCGCGGGATCGCGCATCCGCTTCGCCCTACGAGCCGTAGGGCGCGGCTTGGGTGTCTCATCTGAAACCAACATCTCGAGCCAAAAAGGGCCGCAGCATGACGAGTGCGTAACGTAAGAAGCTGCCCCATTTCAAAACGACGAGTCGCCGACCAATTGGGGGCCACCAAACGTGTGAGATCTGAACTCATCTCGGGGATCGATGCCGGGTGCAAGCAAAAATGTCTCGGAGCAGCTCGGACCCCCCAGTCCCGAGCAGCCCCTGGCCCCTCGGGGCTCGAGTCCCGAGCAGCGTCAGCCCCCTCGGGACTCGAGCCCCGAGCAGGCCCAGGCCCCTCGGGACTCGAGTCCCGAGCAGCACCATCCATACCCCACTCGGGACTCGAGTCCCGAGCAACGAGGGGGGCTGAGGCTGCTCGGGACTCGAGTCCCGCGTGGCCTGGGGCTGCTCGGGACTCGAGTCCCGAGGGGGGCAGAGGCTGCTCGGGACTCGAGTCCCGAGAGGCATGGGGCTGCTCGGGGCTCGAGTCCCGAGGGGGGCCTGGGGCTGCCCAGGACTCGAATCCCGAGGGGCATGGGGTTGCTCGGGGCTCGAGTCCCGAGCAGCTCTAGGCCCCACGGGACTCGAGTCCCGATGGGGGGTGGGGGCTGATGGGGTCTCGATTCCCGAGTATCCCCCAGCCCCTCGGGACTCGAGTCCCGAGCAGCCCCAGGCCACTCGGGACTCGAGCCCCGAGCAACCCCAGGCCCCTCGGGGCTCGAGCCCCGGGCAGCATCACCCACCTCGGGACTCGAGTCCCGAGGGGCCTGAGGAGGAGTAGTGCTCTTAACCCTACGAGCTATGTAGTAGCTCCCAAAAGCGTCCAAGACTCGTCCAATATAGCCCAAGACGCTTCCCAGACAGCTCATATGTTTGCGCCTCCAAGACCCCAGACAGCTAACCGCGCAGACGGTTCCAGGAATGCCATCACATACAAGACCTAAAGACGGGCGGCCGCATCATGTACAAGACGGGCGGCCGTATCATATCCAAGACGGGCGGCTAGCATATGCAAGACCTAAAGACGGGCGGCCGCATCATATACAAGACCTAGAGACTGGCGGCCGTATCGCGACAACCCTCATGGTACCACTCGGGGGGCCGGGGGGCTCGGGGGCGTTCCTAGAGCGCAGAATGCGGAGGAGGATGGGCGGAGGCGGAAGGAGGTGAAGGAGGAGGAAGCGGAGGAAGGAGATGGGAGGAGGATGAGAATACTGATGAGGGCGAGGAGGCAGAGAGACAAAGTAACGGGAGGTTGCAGGACGATGACGAGGGGGGGGTGGATGAGGAGGAGGCGCCAGCGGCCCCGGCGCCCGCCCCACGGCCGGCGCCCGCGCCCACCCACATCGCGCAGAGGGCGCAGAGGGCCACCTGGGAGCGCGGGGGGGAAGAGGAGGAGGAATGAAACGGAGGAGGAGCGAGGCTCCTCTTCATTCCCCTCTTGCCTTCTCCCCCCCCCCCCTCCACCCCCTCCTCCTCCACCCGGGGCATTCCGCAGAGGCCCGCCCTGAGGTCCTCGGCCCCCCCCCGGGCGCCCGAGCGGCCCCGGAGAAAAAACGCTGGGCCTAGTCCGCGCCCTCCGGCGTCTGTCGCGGCAGGCTGTGGCTGCTGGGTTCCCCTTCTCCCCCCCCCCCCCCCCCCCCCCCCCTGCCCCCCCTCTTCCCCCTCATCCCCCCTCCTCCTCCTCCTCCTCCTCGTCCTCCTCTTCTTCTCATCCCCCTCCTCCTCCTCCTCATCATCCTCCCCCCCTCCTTTTGATTTTGCAATATGCGCTGCGGGATCTGCGCGAGCCCCCCCCCCTCGCACCCCGCCCCCCCCCCCGCCCCCCGGCTCCTCATATCCCCTGGCCGAAATCTGTTCCTGGGCGGGGTGGCTCCTCCTATCTCCTGGTGCGCGCCCCCTCTCCCTCCTGCTCCTCCCCCTCCATCCTCGCCATCCTCCTCGTCCTCCTCATCCCCCCCCTCCTCCCCCTCCCCCCTCGTCCTCCTCCTGCTCCTCCTCCTCCTCCTCGCTCCTATTCCTCCTCATCCTCCTCCTACTCCTCCCCCCTCCGCTTCCCCATTGACCCCGCGCCTCCTCGGCGCGGCCGTCGTCCAGCACGCGGCCCGCCAGCATGCACTGCAGCGGGCCCTGGCGAGGTCGCGCTGGAAGCTCGCGCCGATGCTGAGCGCGAGCGGAAGCCATGCCACAACCGGCGCGCCACGACAGCAGGCGCAGTGGGCACGTCCGCACATCACCCACGGCACCACCACTGCGCACAACGCACGGCTGCGTAGTTATTGGAAATTGTTTCACCTCCCACATCTGGCGCAACTTGAGGGCCTCCAGCGGTACTCGGGGCCTCTTCAGACCCACGCCATGTTTTGTTTTTTTCCACGGCGGCGCCAATTGCTGGATACACA